CATAGATATCACCATGAAACTTCACCACTTCATCACTCACATTAAGAGGATTATTTATTGTATTACAAGTCTTCTGAAATGTTATGTTTAAATATGTAAATGAGGCATCATGTAAAGGTAACTTTTGGTGAATTTAGGAGAAATCTACAGACGTAAACAGACAAAGAAGTGAAATAAACACCTGAATGTGTGTTTAAGATGCTTTCTTTCCACTAGTCAAACAACAACACTGAGTTTTATAAGCCGTCCACTTCACTTGTAGCCTGTATCCGTTAGTCAGCAGCAGCACACAGACAGGACAAGGCCAGCTGATAAAACTTGTAGCAGGTGTTTCAGTTCACAAGGCTCATTTCATCATATTTTAAATCTGGTATCATACCAGTTTCTTTTTTTTTTGTCTAAACTTAAAGAACAATATGTTTTCTAGGAATTAACACTCTTTAGAATATAATCATAATATTTAAAGGGACATTGTGTAATCAGTATGAACGTTGTGTACTCTGTACTAACATTCTGGGATGTCTGTTGCAGGTGTTCGGTGCCCAGACTGAAGCAGGCGGCGCTGAGCTGGATCCCCGTTCTCAGCTGGCTGCCTCGCTACTCCATCAGAGACAACGTCATCGGAGACCTGGTCTCTGGCTGCAGCGTGGGCATCATGCATCTGCCTCAGGGTTCGTATCAACGTATGAATGTGTGCAGTGGTTCATCACTTCATCCACATCACACCTCCCAAACTGTAAAAGGAATAGTTCAACGTCATGGGAATTGCACTTATTCTCCGTCCTTAGTACAAGATTTCAGGGTTAGCTTAGCTTAGCATAAAGACTGTAAACTAGCATGGCGTTGTCCAAATGTAACAAAATTCACCTACCAGCACCTCTAAAGCTCATTAATTAACATGTTATATCTAGTTATTATTAACATGTAATTATCTCTTAGCTTGACGCGTAGGCAACACCATCCTGTCAGATCAGCAGGCTAACATTCGGTTGGCTGGCTACTAAAGTTAGCTAACGTTGACTTGCAAATTGTTCAGCTACTGTACAATCCTACTTTTAGCTAATTTAAAGTTACTATGAGGAACTTTCATTTAATGTTGGTTCTGTTGGTAGAACATGAACATTTAATTAAAAAGTAACTTACACCTTGAAGTCCAAATCCAGCCAGGTAACAGGAGACCTGACTCTGAAACAGTGAGGCAAACACAGGCTCATCGACTAATTAAACACAGGTGTGGTAGAAAAACAGGCGGGAAAAATACAAAGGCAGGAAGTGAAACCAAACATGGACATGAGGAGAAAAACTTTCAAAATAAAACAAGAAACCACCATAAAACTCAAGATCACGACAAACCAACTGAACCGACTCAGAGGATGGTCCAAAAGTGGTTTTACTCCCTGTTTATGTCAAAATGATCATTGATACAGGTGGGTTCAATATGATCAGCTGGTTTTGGAGGACTGTGTGATGAAGCTCAGGAGGATGAGGCTAAAGCGGGTCGTCCTGTAACCACAAAGTCTGCAGTTCGATCCCAGGTTCCTCCCGTCTGCATGTCAAAGTGTCCAGGAGCAAGTTGCATGCTGGGCGAGTTGAATGCACAAGTCAAATTTATTTTTAAAGAGACAAAAAGGTGATATTAATTCAATAATGGGGATTTATTTGCTCCACTTGCTCCATTGCTCTCAAGCAAGAAAGTGTATTCCCCCAAAAAGTCTTTAAAACAGCCCAAATCTGAGTTAGTTTGTGACTTTGTTTCTTCTCTTCACCAGGCATGGCCTACGCCCTCCTGGCTTCCTTACGCCCGGTGTTCGGCCTTTACACCTCCTTGTACCCGGTGCTGGTCTACTTCATCTTCGGTACTTCCAGACACATCTCCATAGGTGAGACGAGAAAGTGTGTGTGAGAGTGGCAGTGATTAAACACATAATATAAACAAAGGTAGGTTGAATTCAGATGAGGACAGACTTTTTGTTGGTGAGATTAAGAACAAGGTGCACTTTCTGTTTTACTGTCCAATCTACGAGGACATAAGGGATGTAATGTTTGGTAAAGATTACTTCTATTCCGGAAAGGAACCTTTTTTGTCGCAGATTTTGTTTGCCAGACCTGAGAGAGAAGGCAGAATGTTTTGTAATTTAATGAAACTTAATGAAGTGTGTCCACTGCAGCTGTATTTTTGTCGTCTTATAAACCCATGAGGGTTGGGCACGTTATGTGCATGACATGTAAATAAAGATATCAATCCATCAAAGTAAAGCTGCTGGTGTTTGCGTGTGTGTTCAGGTACGTTTGCTGTGATCAGCATCATGGTTGGGAGTGTGACGGAGAGGCTGGCTCCAGATAGTAACTTCATCGTGAATGGCACTAACGAGACGGGAAGTGTTAACCTCGACACGCGGGATGAATCCAGAGTACGGATCGCGTGCTCCCTCACGGTGCTGGCGGGAATCTTTCAGGTGTGTTTTTTTCTATTTGAAACCAAATTTTAAAAAATGACTATCGAGGTACAGAACAAGCAACACGTCTCTACTTTTGATGACTCCCTCTCTCTCTTCCCGTTGTAAGATCCTGTTGGGTTTGGTGAGGTTTGGTTTCGTGGTCACTTACCTCTCTGAGCCGCTGGTTCGAGGCTACACCACGGGATCAGCGTGCCATGTGTGTGTGTCTCAGCTCAAGTACCTGTTTGGAGTCATGCCGGCTCGCTTCACTGGTCCTCTCTCCCTTATTTATGTGAGTATGTCATAATGCACATGCTGACGAGAGGTTGAAAAATGTAATTGCAATTGCTGGATTTGAACCAGTAGAGGGCAGTCGCTATGTATATTCAAAACACAATGTGTTGAATTTAAATACTTTGCACTAAAATGTCAACAACCCTACTAAATACACGTATGGTTTCAGCTGGAAAAAAAAGTGGTTTGAGGGTTTAGTTACTCTTTAAACTTGTTCTGGCTTCATTGCCTTCTACACTACATGTGGATTAACCTGATTTCCAACATCCCCCCCCTCCCCCTCTGCTCCGTCCTTCTCTCCTCCACTCGTCTCCTCACAGACTCTGGTGGATCTTTGCCGGTTGCTGCCGCAGACTAAAGTGCCGGAGCTGGTGGTCAGCCTGGTTGCCCTGTCTGTTCTCATTGTGGTCAAAGAAGTCAATGCCTGCTACAGACAGAAGCTGCCTCTCCCCATCCCCATAGAGATCATAGTGGTGAGTCCTCCACGAGTCCAGCATCTCGACCACAGTGATCAGCTTTTACAGCCAAAAACAGGGCTCTGCATGTGTTGAAAGTAATGACTCAACTCACATCCGGATACAACTTCCTTTATTTTCCCTCAATAGATCATAGCAGCAACAGTCATCACCCACTTCTGCGGACTAACGAGTAAATACAACGTTGATGTGGTTGGAGAGATTCCCAGCGGGTGAGTTAATCTTCTACAGTGTGTGTGAGAGATTCTTTCGTGGTTGTTGAGATATGTAGAGCAGTTGATAATACAAAGAAACACAGTCTGCAAAGAGTCACAGTGTGTGTTTGTGTGAGTGAGTTTCTGAAACGCTTCTGTTTCCATAAAAGTTCAAAAGTTCATCAGTGAACACAGTTCCCCCAAAGGCATAAAAAGAGAAGATACAATAACAGATTATTGTAATGTGCTGTATCCTATGAAGAAGCTACTCTGAGCTTCTCTTGTGTTCGCCAACAGCTTTTTTGGTAAAATATGATGGTTGAGTATTCTCTATTTGTATTGAATAAGTTAAAAAGGATGTTGTTAAAGGAGCAGTGTGTAGGATTTAGTGGCATCTAGCGGTAAGGTTGCAAATTGCAACCAATTGAACATCCGTCCGCTCACTACAGAGAACTACGGTGGCCTTCAGGTACCGTCAAAAACGTGAAATGCTTTCTCTAGAGCTAGTGTTTGGTTTGTCCGTTCTAGGGTGTTGTAGAAACATGGAGGTGTTCCTGTTTTGATGCCGGTAGATGTGGTAGGAACCATGCTGCAACCAGTGAACCCGGTGCTAAAGTGTGTTAAAGCTGCATTATCGCTAGTGTCCACCAGGGGGCGACTCCTCTGGTTGTATAGAAGTCTATGAGAAAATGACTCTACTTCTCTCTTGATTTATTACCTCAGTAAACATTGTAAACATGAGTTTATGGTCTCAATCTCTAGTTTCAAGTCTTCTTCAATACAGCATGATGTTCATTTAGTACATTATGGTCCATTTAGAGTCAAACAGACCATAAAGCAGGGGATGCTTTAGGGCGGGGCTACACGGTGATTGACAGGTCTCTACCAGAGATGTACACGGCGTCTCTACGTCACTCCTCCTCAGTCCAGATATGATCACTTCCTGTTCACTGGTTGCAAACAAGCAAACATAGCGATGGCCGTAATCCAAGATGGTGACGGACAAATCTCGGAACTCAAGGCTTCAAAACGGCAGTCCACAATCCAATGAGTGACAAATTCAAAAACAGAGAAACGGCAAGAGCTCCACATCTGCAGTGAATCCATTTTTTCCCCATTAATTACATTTGATCACCTGGTCACCTGATGGTGATAAAAGTGGTAAAAACCCGACTTGTTCCTCTCTCCTCTCCGGCTTCAGGCTCAAAGCCCCTCAAGCTCCGGACACCACGCTGTTTTCAGAGTTGATCGGCGATGCTTTTGCCATCGCCATAGTGGGCTACGCCATCAACATCTCTGTGGGCAAAACATTCGCCCTCAAACACGGCTACAAGGTGGACAGCAACCAGGTGAGGAACACACACACACACACACACACACACACACACACACACACACATTCTGGTACTCACAAGCAGCTGTGAGAGTTTTAGTTGGCGTCTCTGTTCCTGTCTGACTCACTGCTAACCGTGAAGAGTCAGATTCAGATTGTCCTGGATTAAGTTCGGTCAATGGATGCCAAAAACAGTTTGCCTTCCGAGAACAAAATTCAGACCAGAACTCTCCCGATACCACAATACTGTCCCATAGCCTCCAGATTCTACATGTGAATGTCAAATCTATGTTTGTGCAATTTAGAGAAAGGGAGTTTCTCCTGTTTCTTTCTACAAGTCATTTTAAAATCAATTTCTGAATTATCTTCTAACAGTAACGAGTGATATTTGATTGGCTAAACCTGTTCAGGAGTTGGCCATAGATCATTAAGCAAGTCCATCTCTAAACAGTTGAGTGTCTCACTGTGAACACCATCATGTGACTCCACACTACAGTCAGATAAATTCATGAAGTTCCAGTTAATATAATGTGCAGATTATCTGCACAACATAGCAACAAAGTTGTACTTTTGATAACTTTTTGTGCAACTGGCAGAAGTTAATGAGACGTGGTTGAGAAGCGTGAAAGGAGCACGTCTAAAGGGTACAACAGAAGCTTATTAATTCATTCTTTATGCCAAAACACTACCTGAGACTGAACCGACATCACGTCATGTCATTACTTTATTGGAAAGTAACATTAATGTTTCCCTGGAAATAAATACACACAAAAGGAAGAACCTCTAACACGCTGTGCCTTCGCCACAATTCTGCACATGTAGACATACGCAGCCCCCACAATCCAGGACCACACCCCCCAAAAAATTGTGATTGGGTTGCACTGAACCACATCACCCCTTCAGGTTTCTCAATGAAACCCGGAGAATATTAAAGGGTTCTTCGTAGTACCCAATATGTTGGTTCTTGTTAGCACCCTGAGGTCCCATCAACACTCAAAATTTTTAATACATATTTTCCTCTACATAAAAAAAAGAAAGAGTCTGAGCATGCTAAGTGGGCTTATTTTCCTTTGTCGGTGTTAGCACATAGTAAACAACAGTAAAGTAAGAGTTCATTATTTATACATATTTGATATTTGATGCCATGGCAAGAACTAAATCGGACTCATATGTGGATGGACGACGAAGTGGAGTTGCAGCTTAGCGTCAACAATATACGGCCATGCCCAAGATATCTCACAACAGAACAGTATCTCCAAGGAAGAGTTTCCTCAAGTCAATAGTATCGACTGACCTCAGGACCATCCGGTCAAAGTACCGAGGGACGGTTGACGCCTCGGGGAACACGGTAGAGCAGTGTTGTGCTTCGAGCTCGGTGAGCTGCCGTAAAGGAACGACTGGTTTTAACTCCAGGTCTGTTTGACTGATCTTTGCTGGTTGTTGTTGTTGCAGTGAATCCATCCGTTATGTTAAGAAGATAGTAACGTTACTACTCCACTAGTCGTTTTAGCAGTTACTGCAAAACTTCCCCTCAGTGAGTCTGTGACTGAAGTAGGTTTAGTTTATACTGAAGTTAACGCACTACGACGGCCGCAATGGAAACCATGCACTTAAAAAATGGCCGCCGTGTAGACCATTCTATTCTATTTCAATGTGCAAAACATTCCTGGAATTGACAAACTAACTACTAAAGACAATAGTGTTTTGGTACAAACTACATCAGTGTGTTGTTGCTGCTTTGAGTTTTAAAAATGCCATTTAAAAAAAAAAGGATCGTTAGTATTTGATTACAGAGTTTGAAGTGTTGTGTTTTATTCGGCTTGTGTGTAAAGTTGTGTGACATGTTGCATCCATCTTGCCGTTTCAGGAGCTGGTTGCTTTGGGTCTCAGTAACACCATCGGCGGCTTCTTTCAGTGTTACTCCGTGACGTCCTCTTTGTCTCGCAGCCTCGTCCAGGAGAGCACAGGAGGCAAGACACAGGTAAACACATGGACACAACCCGATTACATTTGATTCTCATGTTCAGCTTGAGGCCCATTTATTGTACAATAAGTGTGTGTTCGTTTCAGGTTGCGGGAGTGATTTCGTCCATCATCGTGCTCGTCACGGTTTTGAAAATAGGTTCTCTCTTTTCAGATCTCCCCAAGGTAACACTCTCCCTCCAGTAATGATCTCTCTCTCTGCGGAACATTTTTAATAACCGATAATGGCTGTGTGTCGATGCTAAAACGTCTGTGCGTTTGTGTTCCCAAGGCTGTCTTATCCACAATAGTGTTTGTGAATTTGAAAGGAATGTTCAAGCAGTTCACGGACGTGCCTCTGCTGTGGAAGACCAACAAGGTTGATCTGGTACGACCGTATCCTCCGATTATTATAACCATATCATTTAGTAAGTCAGAAAATCGTTTAGCATGTCAGAATCAAGCGTCAACATCTGGGAATGAAACAAATGAGGAAGTGCATAAAACTGCAGTTCCTCAAACGGCCACTTGAGGCTTCAAAAGCAAGTTAATCCCCATAGACCTCTATGTTAAAATGCCCAACTTTACAGCAGAAATTAACTTGTTTACATTTTGGTATGAAGCTAATTTCGTTGTTCAAGACAACTATACTTTAAACGAGGGAGTTATATAAAAATGTATCCCTCATTTATATTATATTAAGGATAAAAGTTCTGCACAATCGACTGCTGAATAACTGCCTTGAGTCAACGTCCACTTCTTATAGTCAATGACTAAAAGTAAAGATCAGTATGTGGTTTGTAACGCAGTGATTGTGTGAACCTTGCGTCTCTTTGAACCCGCTGACCCGCATTGTCCGTGCTGCCCTCTAGATGGTGTGGCTCGTCACCTTCAGCAGCACCATCCTGCTCAACCTGGACCTCGGTCTGGCCGTCTCCATCGGCTTCTCCATGCTCACCGTCATCTTCAGGACGCAACTGTAACTACACGCCACTAGTTGTTAACCATTGATGGAAACACAGGAGCTGCATTAATAATAATATGATTGTAATACTTTTCAGCCCCCGCTACTCTATCTTGGGCCACGTTTCGGGCACTGACCTGTATTTGGACACGGAAACCTACAAGGAGGTAAGAGTCACATTCATCCACACAGAGTTAAAGGGTCAGTTCACCCAAATGTACATATGTTCTCATGTACCACTTGTGGGATTCAGCCTCATACTAACCGTGTTCACGATCACATATTTTTATGCACATTTTGTATTATCGCTGTAGAACAGCCGAATGGAAACATCAAAAACTTTGATAAAACTTCCTCAATTGCTTGCTTGAAGTGTTTTTTGCCTTTGTCAAAAAGAATTGTTAAGCAGGATGATAAATGGTGATTTTAATAAAGAAATATCCAAAACAAAACGTAATTAGCAGGGGAGTCTAAAAATGAGTAACTGAAAATCCAACAAGGCAAAACAACATGAAATAGGACCAAGTGATCGGACATGTGCACAAGGGATATTAAAGGAACATAGCAGACAGAAGACAGGACTGTAAAACACAAGAAACTAATCAGACAGCAAGACACAGGTGTGCAGGCAGGAGGGAGGGCTGACAGCTGATTGGTGGAAGAAACACAAGAGAACAGACTAATACAAGACAGGTGATCACAGAACAAATGAGGAAAACCACAAAGACAGGAAGTCAAACTACCACAGGACACAGGAGGCAGGACATTTCAAAATAAAACAGAAAATAAACAAAATCAAAGTTCTTCTTAGTATAACTCATTCATACTGTTTGCCACATTCCAAAATGTTGCCAAAAAAAATCTGCTTGACAATTTAATTCAAACACGGCTGCAGTCTCAAGAAAAACAGGTTTGGACACAAACGTAGATAAGGGTTCAAAAGACAGAATGCTGAATCATGGGAAACAGGAGCGAGGTGAGTAAACAGGTAACAACTGACACACGGAGACTCAAGAACTAATTAACTAATGAAACACAGGTGTGGCAAAAAATCCATCTTGCCGTTGGACTTTAGTTTCAATTTAGTAGTTTGTCATTTTCTCTTTGAACTTTGTTTTGATAAGTTATCTATTAATAATAAAATGACTTTGGTTTATGACCAAATACCTGCAAAACTAATGATACTCATCAACCTTAGATATACTTTGTTATTTAGTGCTACTTAGCAAATGTTAGAAAGCATGCTAAGCTAAGATGCTGCACACGGTAAACATTGCACTTGCTTATCTATCTGCGTTAGCATGTTAGCATAGCATTAGGCTCACACTTCCTGTAGATGTCTAAATTAAAGTCTGTGTTAAACAAGCTGAATAGATTTTAACGTTTAGTTCTCTGATGTAAAACATGTTTTTTCTGCAATAATCCCAAATCTAATGGAAGAATCTCATTGGCTGTTTAGGGGACTATTGGGGCTAACTTCCTGTTTGAACTACGAAAATACAAAATGCCTGCAGCTCTTTATGCTGCAAGCTGCACAAACAAAACAAACTTCTATTCATTGTACTGTGGTTTGCAACAGAAATCTCAGAGTCAGACATCTTAAAAATGAGGCGAACATATCTGCATTATTATACATACAGCGGTGGGTAGATGAGACACTCTTGCATGAACCGAGCCTCCACAAGAACTCTCTGTGGATAGATTTCAGTCCAACTTTCCGTCATTAAGTGGAATAAAATAATCCAATCAGTGAAGCAATACCTGTGGGGGGTGCAAAGTGCAGATGAGAGCAGAACAGGGCGTGAGTCTCTGATCTCCTCTCCCCGTGATGTGTCCCCGCAGGCCAAAGAGATTCCAGGAATTAAAATCTTCCGTTCATCCGAGACCATCTACTACACGAATGCTGAGATGTACTTGGAGGCCCTGCAGGAGAAGGTGCGTTTGATTACAAGATAAGTAATCCCCTCTCTCTCTCTCTCTCTCTCTCTCTCTCTCTCTCTCTCTCTCACTCACTCACTCACTCACTCACTCACACGTGATGGGTTTTTTTTGTTTCAGAGTGGAATTGAAATCGGGAAGCTGCTGACGGCAAAGAAGAAACGAGACGCAAAGCTGAAGCGCCAACAAAAGAAGGAGAAATCTAAAAACAAGGCAAAGAAACAAGTATGTCGTTACATGTTCTTTCTCTTTTGTTGTTTCTATTGATATTGTTGTCATACTTCATATCTTGTAAAAACATCTTATCAATAATCTTTTACGTAGTCATATCTTAAGCACGTTCATTTTAATATTGTATAGGTGGAGGCTTCAAATAGGCCCAGTTGGCTTTTTGCCTCTTCCTGCACTCTGATCTGTTTGTTTTTATGTTATTGTTTAAATTGTGCAAAAATAAATGAACTAAACTGAACTATGACATCGCAAGAAACTTCACGTTACACAAATTATGGGTTTGATGAGAACTGATGAGTCAGATAGTTATTTCACCCCTTTCTCCGGCAGAGTAAAACAGAGAGCCAACTGTCAACGGTGACCGAGAGGAGAGTCTCCATTGGACAGAAGGCGGACATTGTCGTCTCAAGCTGGACGGAAACCTCCACGAACGAGCTCGACAAAGGCCGAGTAAACTGGGCCTACCAGCACGACACGGCCGCGTCAGACTCGGATTCGGACGCGGGTTGCCACGTGGACGGCAGCATCACCCAGGCATCGCCCCGAGCATCGGCCACGCACAGCGTCGTCCTGGACGTCTCCACCACCAGCTTCGTGGACATGGTTGCCGTGAAGACCTTGAAAAATGTTCGTGTCTCTTTTATTATATTCAACCGTCAGATGTTTGAATGAGTAAATGCAAGCAGACATCAAGTGGTATCTGTGCTTTTTGTTTTTAACAGATATTCAGGGACTTTGGAGAGATTGATCTGGACGTCTATCTAGCGGGATGCCAAGGTGAGCGGCACACCAGACCAAAAAAACAGACAAACGTCAAGGTCTCAGTCTCAGCGGCGCTTCGTTGTTCCATCGTGCAAAATATTTACTCAAATGAAGATTTTTAAATTCTCCTGTTTCTAAAACATCTAAAAAGAACCCGAATTGGTCGTCTTTGTAAAGTCCCTCGACATGTAAGTCGAGGGACTTTATGGCTTCACTACGACAATAAACTAAACTTTAGTCCAGACTGAAATATCTCAACAACTATTTAATGGATCGGCATGAAACGTGGTGCAAATATTCAAGTTCTAAACATTCTAATAACCAACTAGCAGGTCAAAGTTTTCACTCATGCTGAGAAATATCTCAGCATCTACCAGATGGAGTGACATTCATCGTTTTCCAACGACATGATGTTCTCCTGATGTTCCTCTTGGTAGTTTTTGGGTTACTAGGTTCTTCAGGATCCCTTAACTTTTACATATAGCGCCACCATACTTTTAGTCTCTGGACGAAAAACTATTTCAGGCGTCTTATTGTTTCCCCCGAAGTCAGACACGTCGACCAAAACAGAAATATTTTACTTTAAATGCTCTTCATACCATCTGTCATGCATGCTTCTTTTTTTTGCGGTCCAAATACATATATGTACATACTGTGTATATGTGTGTGTG